ACATTAAATGTAGCTATAATTAATTTATTTGCAAGATTTCATGAGGTTAGCAGCACTTTTCGTACATCTTAATGCTTCTTGAGTTTATGTGTAAAAACTTGACAAGATACATTGATAGTATGGCCTTGCAATAAATCGATTTATTAGGACCCTTCCATTACTTTTTCAATGATTCTGCATACAAACACACGACAGTATCACTTGTCTGGAGAACGTACGGACAGTTTATAAATAAAATACTAAAATAGACATCGCATCCAAGTTTACGGCCTTTTATTTAAATGCATAGAATATTTCATTTGAGAAAAAAGACATTTTCATTGTTTCAAATGTGACTTGATCAGCTTTCACTGTGTACAAACTGCACCATTTTTGCGAGAGGACGTCACATTGACAAGTGCATTGCGATCGATGCATCGTTTAAAAACTGTTGTGTGGAATTTAACAAACGACAAAACTGCATGTAATAGTAAGTTTGATTGTAGTATACAGCTATCCAGCTGTTTGAAATAGCAAATGATTTCATTTTGTGGTATTTTGAAGACCTTATATTATGTGTGACGTCATAGTAAATATTTCCCGTACAAATTAGGCCCCGCCTCCTTACTTTAACCTTAACTGTGCTGCGATGCTACTCTGCCAAATAATTCTTTAAACAAAGTATTTGTTTTTCTATAAAATACAGCAGGGTTCTCCATCATTTGAAATTTAACTGTGGCGCAAGAATTTCCCGAAGTACTGATATTCGCGGTCATTTTACGACCAATTCACGAAGGAATCACAAATTAAATTGAAAAACACACAGCACATATGCATCCATATTCCAATACAAATAACATTATTTTTTTGGCAAAATGTTTGATGAATTTAAGAATAATAATTTAAAAAATGATATCGTTTTAATTTAGTGTAGTGATATCGTTTTAACATAGTGTAGAACAAAAATTAAATTATTTCCACAATATATTAACTCTGAATTAAAGATCCCCCCTTCCTAAACACACATAAGAACTAAATAAAGAGATTTTTGCTTATAGAATCAAAAAAAGTATCAGTCATAACAGGTTTTAAGTATTTAACCCTAATTTAATAAAAGATTGTTTTCAAAAGGTAAATATACACATGCAATGTTCATTAAATATCGACAGAGGAAATTCGGGTATGTTACATTAAAAACAGAAAGATGTGGGAGAGTAGTGAGAACGACAACTCTGTATAGAGAATAATTAGACCTATACGATGTTTTGACTCTCGGCGCAAATGTAATGTTCGAGACATTGTTAACTGTAAAACTATTTAAGCATGAACTAATTTATATTTTAAATTGCCTTTGTAATTATCGTGAAGTGTGAAAAAACGGCTTCCTGTGTCCAGCGAGGTCTCAGAGATAATTGATTGTGCAAGCCAAACAATGGGCCCTAATTAGAGTAAATTTACAGATTAGCATTAGAAACTGAAATCGGTACATAGTTAGTATGTTTCAAAATTATTATTATGACAAAAAGGTCATTTAACTATTTTATTGAAGAATATTTCAATTTAAAAAGTATTTGACAGTTAGATGTATGTTTTTTTTTTCTTTTTTAGATATGTAAATAGTTGGTTCTTATTTAAATTCTATTGAAACAAAGAACAGGAAGACATTATTTTTGCATCAATCTATAGTAGTTTAAAACTTTTTGGCGCTATTTTTTTTTTCATTTTTTTTCTAAATTCAAAAGAAATACAGTTAAAATTATTCCTCTTTTTTTGTGTATTTAGATGGACAAAATATCCGACACAGAGCTGGATTCAGCTGAATAGAATTCCCAGCATTCCAGAGAAATGTTTTCCTGGTTTCTCGAAGATTACAAGATAAAAATGTTGGCTTTTTCTATTCTGGGTTTATTTTGACTGAATCCGTATACAAAATGGTTATAAATGCAAGGGTTAAAATGCGACCCTAGAGTAGGTTATTGTTTCTGACAAAGTCATTATTGTACCATTATCTAATTTTGAAATGTGAATTTAAAAATTAATCATGAAAATTAAAATCAGCAGTCTGATTATCTATCGCATACGAAAGGGTTTGTACTTGGATCTCAAGCATGCTTCTAAGTATTAAATGGGTTGTGAGACGTAATCAGTATATGCACGTGACAGAGGACGATTACGTAATAAATAAGGAGATTTGAGTGTGTAAAGAGCGATTTGATCTGGTAAAGTCGTTAGTTTGTCCTTTTGGCATGTTACGTACAATAATAAAAACAATACATGAATATAAAAAGAAACTTATCATACATAAAATGAGATTGTTTAATAGAGGGCTTTGAAAAGTTTTCAATCAACCGTGAGGATGACATTGACACCTATTCAATTGCAACCTTAGTACCACAAAAACTGCTATTAATAGAGTAGGTTTTCATAATCATTACATTAACCATTTAGATGAAAGAAACCGATTGCACGATTTGGATTTTTAAACTGATCATCTTTACGTTTGTGTTCTTCTCATTGGCGCATGAGCGAGCAGTTTAACTTATTTATTCGGTGTGTTTACCCCTAGCCCAATGCAGCTTGGGTTTGTCAAGACTTTCTCGCGAACAAGCACATTTACCCACTGGACTAGTCTCCTTAATGTTCATCTTTTACTTATTGAACATCTGTGGGACAGAGAGGAAGATGCGGTTTTAATAACACTTGAATTTTGAGGCAAAATCAAATGGGATTTGGGATACATTTACATTTTAAAATATTTAAGCGTAAGATAAGAAAATTTGAAAATACATATGGAAAATGAAATTGTACACCTAAAGATTTTACCCTTTTTTTCTTTAAGTAAATATATTCATTACGAACGTTATCCGAGCTCAAAAGACCTTCAAACAATACAAATTTGTAGCAGAGCATTTACGGACCTGCGAAATATCAGAGGGTGGATAAAGTGCCATGAAGGATTGAGATTCCCCTGTCAACCGGTCACACCCGCCGTGTGCTCCTTGTCATGATCATAAAAAACGTCACCTAACATAAATTTTAGCTTAATGATAAATTGTAATCGCTGACAAGGTCATTGTATCGACCATAGAACTAAGAAAATGATAACTTTAGACGAAACTGCTTATATTCCTGTTTTTTAAACTTAATTGTGAATAACTAAAATCATTTTAGAAATTGTTCGTACGTAGAGCATGTTCTTGTGTATATTAAATCAACTGAGATATGAACCCTGTATGCAGGAGATGAGGGTAAACTGTTGCATAGGAAAAGGATGTTGACAATTAAAAAGTTTCAGTTATCACTTTAATCATAAACCTTAGTTGTTAGATTACCAAAAAGATCTTTTTCCGTTAAAATATCCAAATATGAAACTGATGTGAGAGACTCTGTGGTATCTTTTATTTTAAACTCACTTGGATATATCGTGTTCATATTAGAATTGAAATTACCATTATTAATTGACAATACGTCGTCCACATATCTAAATGTCGGGTTTAAGGTCACAGCAAGTGTTTTCTTCTTTTCATGTATTTTGGATAAATTTTGCTTCATATGAATACAAAATATATTTGCTCAAGTCTAGGCGCAATTGGTACCAATATTAATGGAATTCCAATACAATGTTGGCAGACGGGGGAGTGCGTTCAATAGCGTAGCTCCCACGTAGCCGAAACGTGTAGCCACGATCTTAAATAAACAGCTAGCCTAGCCTCTACGTAGGGTGAGTTTGCTTAAATATTAATGCTTAGTACCAAATCCAAGATGTTAAATTACAACATCGCAACACACTCGATTTTAAAAAAAATAGGGTACTATTTTCAACATTATAGAGAGTGAAATAGAAATTAACACACTAGTATGTATAAAAATACATACATGTCCAAGAACGAATTCGATGTCGATATCAACGATATCGAAAATTTTATGTCGATATCGTATCGATATCGATCGTGATCAGCACTATTAATTGGAAATACCTGGTGCCAAATTTGAGACACTATATTACGTCGATGTCGTCGATATCGACGATATCATGACAATATCGTATCGATATCGATCCTATTTGCATAATCTATCTTCACATTGAGGTATAACATTATTTTACAAAGTCAAAAGTGAAGTCAAAATTGATTCATTATTGGCATGAATATGAAAATAAATTATGATTAAGAAATTTTTCAGGTTGTTATTGTTTTAGATTAGATTTAGAGTAAGATGTTGGGTTAGGGTGAAAATTCTTGAAAATGTTTTAACAATCATGATTCGATATCGATACGATATCGTCGATATCGACGATATCGAGAGTAAGGTAAACTTATTAAACACAGAAGTCTTGTAAAAATAAATTTCTTGTATTAAGGTGAAGGTTGGTAAAATAATATGCTTTTAACAATCATGTTTCGATATCGATACGATATCGTCGATATCGACGATATCAATGGCAGGTAAAATCTTCGTAAAAGGAAAGTAATTAAACATAAAACATTCAAAGTAGCAGGGAAGGTATAAACAAAGGTTGAGCGAACATGATTCGACATCGAAGCGATATAGTCGATATCGACGATATCGACACTTCAGGGAAAGATTTATAAAGAATGTTTTAAGTAACAGTTGTTAAAAACAGCATATAAAGGATGGAAACCATAATTCTTGAAACAATCATGATTCGATATCGGCACGATATCGAGAACACTAACAGTAAGAAAATAGTCTTAAAACAGGAAGCATTGTTATAAACACACGAGAATAGTGAAATATTATAGAAAACTATAAAAAAAAAAGTCATGTGTCGATATCGTAACTACATCGTGTCTTGGACATAACTCTAAAAATAAGTTTAAACAGAAACGTTTTTTATCAAAAATCTGACACTTGGCAACTTAGCTAGCTCTCCGTTCGATAGAGACAAATATCTAACATCAAGCAGCTAGATTAGCCTCTACGATCTTGAATGTATTCCTGGTCTCCAAAACACAACATAGATATTGTCAAGCAGAAAAGATTAATGACCAAGTCTTATAATGCAGATATTTTTATTTCATTTTCAACAGAAATGTTAGAATGGTTCCTTTGTATGTCCTTCATTCAACTAGTTCCCTATGACTACAAAAAAATTAATGAAAGTTAGTCTGATAAGTTGAAAAACATAATAGTATGTTGAATGAATGAGTAAGAATAAATTAAAATCTCAAAACTTCAATAAATAAAAATTACTCAAAATATAATATATGATTAAGGAACAATGTAACGTCCAATTTGCTACTTACTTTAAGCTTCAATTTCAGTAGTCAAATATCCAGTGCTTCTCTTAGACGCTTTATGGCCATCAATGTCTCTTAGTATTTTACGATATTCAGATTCCTTAAAAAACAAAATGCACAATATTAATTCAGATAGAAGAAATAAATACAAGATAAAGGGAAAGACTGAGAAAAAATGAGAGATAAAGAGAGACAGAATGTGTGAGAAAGAGTAAGAGAGAGGCGGTGAGAGAGAGAGGGGGGGGGAGTCACAAAGAGAGAGGGAGAGAGACACCCAAATCCACACACACCCTTTCTTACCTCTACACTCTTTGTTTGTCTTTCCTCTGCTTTATTACTGCTCCTCTCCACTTTTTCAAAGACGTCATCGTCTGTTTCAATGCTTCTTCTGAAACATTTATGAGGAGAAAATATTAATAGAAACAAAGTGCTCAGTAATATTATGGTTTTCCAACAAAGCTGATGACAGAAAAGTAAGAATGATTCCTTTGTATGTCC